GTGAAGAGGTCAATGGTACCGTCACTCCCTGGAAGTCCCTGAAGGAGGGACTCAATTAGTTTTGGTGACTAATTAATTTGATTATTTCGTTATTTATTGAGGGATTTTGTGGAGGTTGTTATGCGGAGTAAATAGGTATATATGTATAAGCTAATATATGTAAGTACCGAAAGATACCGCTAGTTTTTATCTTGAAGGGTTAAACCGTGGAATGAGGTAAAATGTTACACTAAATGAAAAACCTCTAGTAGACAGTTATTATTCTGAACAAGAATAAGAAGACCTAAGCTGTTCATTAGCTGAGAAGATAATGAACTTCATTTAATTTAGAATGACAAATAATCGGTAGGCAAAAATAGGGGTCTGAGACGCACGTCATTGCGTCACCGCGTCTGTCATCTATCATCATTATGAATCCCCACCCGATTTGAACGAAAACGAGCAACCCCGAACAGTTACGAGAATAATAATCAAATAATTTTCTCCGATTCACTATAGTTATTTTTGGCCGATGAATGACGATAGCAATATTTTGAAATAACAAAGAACAGTAAATCAAAACTAATTTCATAGTTTCAGTTGAATGTTTCATTGATATTATTGGTAGATATTTATATCAACATGAATGATTTTCGAGGTTGAATAGTCGTGAACTTGTGATGTTATTTCCGTTGCCATGGCAACTAAAAATAGTTTTTGAAGCCGATATTTTAGTGTTGAGTTATTCATAGGTGATCGTTTTATAGTATTATTGGTTCACAATACAATCATAGGTAAAATCCAGTAAGAAGTCATTTAATTACATTCCACAAAAAAAATGAACTCTGCGTTTTCACTAACTACCCGTAATTTTTCATAGCAACCTTCTCATGGTTATAACGAACCTAAAAAAATGTCTATGTAGGAAATTCGGTTCGAGGATGGAAGGATTGAGCCTTCTTAGTGAATCGATAGATACGATTTTTGAGAGTATAGTGAGTGTAGGCAAATTTGCAGACATTAACAGACTAGGTTCATCTGAATTTAAGTGATCAGCGCCGCTTTTAGACATCAGCATCATCAAGAAAGACACCGCGTGTTGCCCGCCCTTTCTGGAAGTTTTGAAGGTCGAATTAAGATTAAAATATTATTAAAATAATTACGTAAAACTTCCTGATTTCACTTAAATTAAGAGATCATTAGAAAAAAGAAAATGGTTCATAATTATAACTCACTCACCGTTATAATTAGATACTTAATGAGATTAATTCCAATAACAATTAAATCTAGCACTTTTTAATTATTCACAATTCCAATTAATTATCAGAAGGTATTTGTGTCATTGTAATACTTATAATGCTAAGTAATTGATAATATCGAAGAACTGTTTACTGAAGAAAGTTTTTAACTGAGGGCGGAATTAAATGGTATAATTAATTACTTACTTTTCTTTAGATTTAATAATAAGTGTCTTAGTTCGAAACTTGGACATTACTAATGTAACTTTTTCCAAGTCATATTAAGCAGTTACTCTCTAAGATTATTTAGACACCGCTATCGCTACTCACGATGTTTTCTTCCATCAACGCGGTGCGAGAAAACCTCAACTTATTATTTCTAAGTTCGTAATTCGCCAATCCGTCTTAACCCGGCTTGGTGATTAATTCTCAAACCGTATTTGTGGGGCATTGGGCAATTACACGCTGATGATGATCATGATGAGAGTGAAATAATTCATGCAAGATTCTGGTGGTCCTCACAATGACGACACTCAGGAGTGCTTCTGCCGGATCCGAAATAGGTACCTACTGAAGTTTCAGTGCCCGGTAAGCAGCTGCGTTAGTCACGTTTTTAAATAATTGAGATAAAATTTTGCCTGACCGATTCAGTTACAGAATATACCTTTTTTTTGTGTGAAGGGATAATCATCAAATGACTTTTCCAGCCCAGGGCCGGGCGGGAGGGAGTGTCAGACTGTTACTGACTAAAAACCCCCCTGTTCCTTCTCCTGCTCTGGGCCAAGGTCGCGGTGCCTCATTGCGCTTACCCCGCAATCCCGGCTGATACAGAATATACCAAAGTTACATACAATCGATACACCACATAACTTACGACTATTAACTAAATAATGTAATGTATTTACTGAATAGATTTCCCCGGCGATATGCGGTAGAATTCATTTAATGTATTAACTACCTATACATAATATACAACAGTTTCTCAGAACTTAGGTCACTGAGGATGTAAGTTTTGAGTGCTATCGGAATCAATTACTAGGTACTCCTTATGTATAATAAAAGATGATTAAAAGAATTTTATAGTTTTCTCATTGTATGTATATAAGATGGTATTTTAAGTATGTATTTAGTTAGTAAACTGTTTTATACAGGCTACATACATGAGACTGTTTTTGTTGTTATTATTCAATTAGGTCACGTCACATTGTGGTAATAATAAGTGGCATAAAATAGGTACTCATGCCAGTTATAATGTCGTATTTGAAAGGCTTGCTGGAAGTACGATATCCTATAGGTTAAAATTATGTACCTACCTATAATTAGAATGTGTGGCCACTCTCTTTTCTGGTGGTTAGCGATGATGTGGCCACCGATTGAACAGGCCTATTCATAAGCAACCAATCGTGGGACAGAATAAACAAGAAAAACATAAACAATCTAATCCTCCGTGGTATTCTTCTCGGAGAACACTCACAGGCAAAGAATATCACTCTTCAGCGGTTTAATTCATCAAACCTATTTCTTACCATTGAGTGCCTAATTACCATGATTAAAAGAAAAAAAAGGAGGCAAAAACGTTGTGCGTGTTAGGAAATTTACAAAGAAGCAGGACATAGTCGATCGGACGATCGCCAAGTCGCGTGTCGCGGAATGCTGCTCATGAATATGGGCCTCTAGCATGGCTTGAAACTAGTCGAGTATCTCGTCAAATTATTACGTGAGTAAGCCGAAAACATATAAGTATCTATATCTATCAGAAATATCAAACGACTCCAGAAAGCAAAAAAAAAATACATTTTAATTAAAACTTGTAAGCGATAATAGCACTTGACATAATTTACCTACAGATGTAGGTAGGTATCACTCATCTCGGAACCAGGCAAACTAGTTGGGATCCAGCTAAAGTCGTAAATAAGCTGTCATTCACCGCCCCTGGGAAATCCCATCTCATAATAGATAGTTGGAAAACTTAAATTTGTCATCCCCACACATCATGTAAGGCAGAATTAGTTCTGAAAGTTTCAGAACACTTTACATTGGGGTATATTGATGGACCTTTGTCGATGTTGTCTCGAAAAAATCGTGTTTCATTTTTCTCTGTGTTTGATCGGTTTTAAATACATTTAAGTCATTTCCCCTTTTTCCTAGATATTAATTTTATGATGCGTTATTTAATTTTGATCAATATAATACTTCTACTAGTATCAATACATTTATTGGAATGCCATAAACTATAATATTTTCTATGAATATTCATAGAAATTGATTTTAAGTATTTACGTTATAAAGCATTTTTATTTTGGTAAATGTAGCTCTTTAAAATCTAAATTTATTTTTATTCGAAATTCAAATAATTTATTTTATAATTGTCACTTAGCAATAAAACTAACAGGTCGTCTGATTGTAAAAGGTCACCAAGGAGGTTGTGCATACTTCTTTTTATTATTTTATCGTTTTGTCAGACCTGTCTGCCATTGTATCATTATGTAGGTACTTATATTATCACGAGCCGGAAGACGCATTTTACGAGTACTTCGCCATGAATTTCTTAACCGTCCATAAATCAACTACAGTAAACATAAACTAAACACACGGACAATTAATTTCCTTCACATTTTTTTCTCAATATTTTGGTGAATGACGTTCTTTATACCTATAAATCATTTGGCTATATAATAAACCTCAAAAGAGTTCCTGACTTTTACACATGCCATTTTCCAACCAATAATCCTCAATTAGTCTATCCATGCATGTCCTAACTCAGATTTAGAAGGATTACGTATATCAAAAGGATCCAATTCAACAAGGATTTCCGTGAACACAGGGAAAGCTCTGCAGATGTGTCTCTCAATTACTTTGCATAAGTGGCGCCCTCTTGTGATCCTCAAAGAGCCGCAAATGAGTAAGATTGAAGTGAGACCCCGGATCTCGGTTAAGTCAATATACATACTCGTAGCTACTGACTTTATTTAATTAAGGACTTATTTTTGTAAAGGAAATGCTTTTTGTTAAGGCATTTATTGTGGAGCGGAGACTTGGAATTGTCGCACGTGTTAACTGCCACAGATACCATAAAAGTAATCATAACAAAAGAAATGAAAATCTCATTTATCAAATTTGAAGTTACAAGCAAAGAATTGGCATTCAAAGAAAACATTCAAATAAAAAAAAAAGAAAGTATTAAAAAAAATAGTAAGTAATTTTTTCAATTTTAATTTATTTAGCTATTGTTCGTTGTCGATCAATGTTTCAATCTTCACGAATGGCCGCTGACGCACTCACGATACGCCACGAGTTAAGATATAATAAAATTAAATGTAAGTATTATTACATAGTTAACTAAATTTCAGTCATTACTCATTATACCAAGAAATCCCAAATATATTAATAAAACTAGATTCTACCTCAAAATCTCAAAAAAGAGTCTAATTTGACCACTCTGACACAATTTTCTTTTCTATTCTATTTTTAAAAGTTCTTATTTATCCAACTAGCTGACAACGGAAAACTTTGATTTGCCATATAAATTATTTCTAAAAAAACAATGTTAAGTGTTAACAATCCTTATCATATCTTATCCTTACCTCTAAGTGAGAGGTATGAAAAATAGCCAGTAGCCAATTCTGTGACCTACCTACTGAATATGCTTATAAAATTTGGTAAAAATCAGTACCTAAAGCCGTTTCGGAAGAGTAAGGTAACTAACATTAACACGAGACTTTTATGTCCAAAGATGATTAATCTATTTTTTATAATTCTACTTTCAAAGAAGATTCCACTTACCCTCCCATCACTCTTCCAATATATGAAGAAGCCATACTCGTCGACTTTGAACAAGCAGTTCTGTTCTAACTCTGTGTTGTCCTTCTCTTCTGTCCACCGATCGAAGGTCGCACCCTGCAGAAGAATATAAACATTTTATAACTTGTATCAAATAAAACATAGTTTCTATTGTGATTTTTGAGACTGTTTTTCCTAGATTGTTTCTATAACAGTTAAAAAATTGAAGAGGATCTTCAAGTTTTTAACTGAAACCAAAAGATTCAAACAAAATACAATCCACAGTAAAATTATGAAATTTGAAATTTAAGACGCATTCCATTTCACGCGCTCCTAAATAACAGTAAGAGCCAATTATATCGCTGAACAGATAAAAGACTGTAAAATACGAGCCGTTTATTGGTCGAGATATTTTTCGTGGCAATAACTTTGCTGCCATTGGTCACTTGATTCCTGTATCATGAGATGGTTGGTTCAAATTTTGTTGTTAGTATGTCATAAATGTAAGGTGGTGTATGTTTGGCTTTAAATAAAAAGTAAAGTCAGTCAGATAGTAGTACAGATACTTTGGCTAGTATATTTTGTTTTTAAGTGATAAGACTATACGAACAGACGGAGTACCTTATGGTAAGCAATCAGCGCCGCCCATGGCCATTCACAAAAACGGAGAAGTTACAAGTGCGTTGGATGGGGCCCTTTTTGATCGATTCCTAACTGAAAATCCTGCATATTTTATATAATTAAGTACCTAATCGATAATACGCAGGGCTTATACATGTTATAACTGGTAAATCAAAGTTTATTTGATGGGAAATGAAGGAGAGATACCAATGTACCTAGTTAACACACGAATCTGTGTTCAAATAAAACAGAATTGACGTTAAACTTTTGATCTGTGCAATGGTACATCTCGTCGGAGCCGCTGGAGGTGAGGGGATTACTGGAGCGGCCGCCTCGCCGACTTACGGCACAGAGTTGAATAGGCACAATGGTAAGGGTGCTAGTGAGAGGGGGCAGCGTTTTAACTATCTGTAGGGCGACAATTTTTTTTTAAAGGAAAGTATTTGTACTTCCTGATGTAAATGGTAATTACATTGAATGTGTGCAAATTAAAGTGTTGTAAATTTACGCAAATCTCTTGGAAATAAAAGTGTTTGTAGGATCTATACATATGTAGTTTGATCCAAATTCTGTTAGTATCGTGTGTCTGGATTTAATTTTTAGTACACGTAGGTACACTAAAGAGCGTAATATCAATTGAATATGGTTTATTTGTGTTGTATAACAATTATAGTTAGGAAAATAAGTGCTACTGTTAATGTCAATCCATATATTAATCTATGCACGGTTAGAGCAGTGTCTCGACAATTGGTTGCGTGGATCGTTTCGCGAGTTGATTCCCATACGGAACCACACTTTTTGTGTACCACAAATTATTATTTCGGTTCTGAGTAGCTTGTGTATATGAATATGTATGTTTGACACCCATGACACAGGAAATAACCTAGGGCATTTATTTACATCAAATGAAAAACGCTTTTCCCGCTAACAGTAGCGCCGCACCTCATTCAGTAAGCATGTGCGATAGAGTGATTTACGACGCTATTGGCACTGACTCACAATGTCTTCACGTAACGTTCCTAACGTGCAAATAACAGATTGCCCGGGAATACCTTCGAATTATATTATCTGTGATCTTTTGTACGGAATGATGGCTTTCTTGTTATCTCACCTGAACTGCTTCATTGGCTTTTGAATTGGATTTCACGCTTGTATTAGCAGACGTGTAAGTATGGATAGGTATGTCGAAATTGATTTCGATTTTTAAAACATCCAATAAGTATATTATTCGCTTCAAAATGACCGCGATGGGCCCCTTTTTTCAAAAACGACAACTTCAACTTACAGTTTTTGTCTTATATTTGAAACATTTAACAACTCTAGTATATTTTGTAAGTGGTAATATTTTTTATACAGTTGGCACTTCCGTATGACGTACCGCGAGTGCAATTCCCGCAAGGAAAAACTTAGTGTGATCTCAAAAATTGTTGTTCTGAATCTGGGTGTGATGTGTATATGAAATTTTATGTCTGTAATCGAACCGTTTAAAAGTAACGGGCAAAATTGGCTTCAGAAAGTTGGATTTGAAACAGGCCAAATATTTTGAATGGGGGGGTTGTTCAAATATTGTTACCGTGTGAGGTCAAAAAGTTTGAAGGGTGTATTAGGCTTTTTGGAAAACAACCACTTGTTTCACATTACTTCTATGGCCTCATACTGTGAGATACAAGACATATACTAAATCAGAAAACTTGCAATGTGTCGAAGAAGCCAGTTAAGCAATATTTACCTGAAGAAGGAGATCAGGGACGGGGATCTGCCAGTTGAACTCGAACTTCTTGGTCATGGTGCTCGCTTGTCAACACCTCTCCAAGTCTCCAATCAAGCGTTCACGCAGACATTCTTGACACCCTGTGGACAAGGAAATATAAAACTTAGTACAGTTGAAATAAAATTAATAAATCAAATAACGTGCCGGTTTTTATTTTTTCAAGTTGTTGGCCGAAAACTCCATGTGTCGACATAACTCTGTGAGCTCTATTTAAGGCTTCGAGTTATTACCGACCAAATAAATAATAAACCCTTAACAATAGTTTCCCGCATCCAAAAATCGAACCTGTGACTTTTCGGACCTTGATAACGATTGACCACGACGACCAACCAAGACCAACAAGACTACTACTAAGACAAGAAAAGAATAAATATGACTCCTTAGCATAGTAATCAAAGCAGTGGACTGAACAAAAATGGAATGTTTCTATCTAATTGTAAAAGTTTTTAAGGGAACAAGGGCACAAATTGATTGGCCTTCACATTTAAGTGTGGGAGAGCCAAGCTTCGGCACGAATGGGTCGGCTCGAACGGAGTGATACCACGGCCTCACAGAATACCGGCGTGAAACAACCCAGCGTTGTGTTTCGCCGTGTGAGTGAGGTTACCGGAGGCCCAATCCCTCCCCTTCCCCTATCCGTTCCCGACCCTTTTATCCGCAACCCCTATCCCCAAAAGGTCGGCAACGCACTCGTAACTCATTTGGTGTTGCGGGTGTGCTTGGGCGGCGCTGATTGCTTACCATCAGGTAATCCGTCTCTCCGGCTCGTTTGCCGACTTATACTATAAAAAAAACAATAAAATCCAAAGACAGTCTCTAATTTTCAAATTGGAAAACGACCCTTCACTAAATAGCCATAGCCAAGAACTTTATCAGTTTTCAAGGACACCTGTAAATTACCACTTCCTAACTAAACCACAGTTCTGATCAGATCCCTATCAGCGGTTCGGAAGGTAGACATGTCAATCAGGTCCTGTATAGTCGGAGTAATTGCACCCGTGTCAACGTTGACATCCAATTACTGTGGCAAACTATACTGTTCCGGTGTTATTATGAAGTTTTAAGTTCGATGGTGAATCTGAAAATGGACATCTGGCTTGTTGTAAACAAGCCTTCCTACAGATGTCCATTTAACATAGGTAACATAGGTCCATTTAACAAATGGACATTTAACATAGGTTAAGCTAAGATTTTAGAATAGATAGAATAGATTATAGAAGGAATAATGCTGTCCAATCGTATTGTTTTGACATACTCATCAACATTAAAAGGGCTCTGCCCGCGTGTATGTCGATTTTACAGATCTTTATAAAGTTTTTTTGTTTTAATTTTGTTTACGTAGAAACCTCTTCTGGGCTTCCACGAATAATTCAATAACAAAATTTCCTATATCAGTAAAGGCATTGTTGAGTTATAACATTACAACGAAAAGTGGCATTGATTTTTTATATCTATACATATAGATAGATATCTACGCCCGACACACTCTATGGCTTCTTCTACTACTTCTATGTCTTCATGCATGCTAGAATAATTTTTAACATGTAAGTAGTCTTCTTTTATATACATACATATAATAGGCTCTAAATACCTATGCCTATGTAAAAAGAACAGAAACTTTTTATTACAAAACTTTTTTTCCTGTACATTTTAGAAAAGACTTTTCTGTTATACAGAATAGGATGCTGAGTGTAAGAAATAAAAAATGAATACAAGAACAAAATAATTAAAATCAACAAGCGAACACGAAATACAGACTAGAGGTGTAAACTACTCGTACAATGTTTAAAATGTAAGGCAAAAACAATTAGTTGCACTACAACTCTAGGTAATTTAGTTATTTTGTTATACTGTTAATGCTGTTGAACAAATATAAATAGCCGTGAATTATGTCGTGCAACACGAGTGAGGAAACAAATAATCATACATCCACAGATTATTAAGAAATCAATTTGTTGCTGGCAACAGTAAGTCTTTAAGTTTATGTGTGGGCAGGAAAAGGCTTTTTTGTCAGGAGACAATCATCATATGGGTTCTCCCACCTAGATGAGGTGAGAGGAAGCATCACACTTTTACTGACAACAACCGCTCCTACCCCGATCCCCCTCCTGCTTTAGGTCGAGGCCGCGATACCTCATTGCGCTTACCCCGCAACCCCAGCTAGGAAAAGCTGATGATGATGATGAAAAATGTGATGATTCTTTTAGTCTATGCGATTTATGATCCAAATGTTTAATTACCGAAACAATTTTTATTATTATCATGTGTCCACTGCTGAGCAAATGCCTCTTCTCCAATACGATTTGATAGAACATTTCTCACAACGCTTACACAAGACGAAGTGTACCAAGTGCAGTACAGGAATGACATTCAAATATTAACTATGATACAATTGTTAACAGCGGTATTTGTTTCAGAATTTAGGTAAAACTTATCACTGTGTAAGAACTTACTCCGTGTAAAACATTCGACTGCACGGTTGGTGCGGTGGCTGGGCAACTGGCTGCCGTGCAACGTGTCACGGGTTCGATTCCCGCACGGAACAACTCTTTGTGTGACCCACAAATTGTTGTTCCGGGTCTGGGTGTGATGTGCATGTAAAATTGTATGTTTGTAACCGCACCCACGACACAGGAGAGAATACTAGTGTGGGGCAACGCTTTAAATAAAAAAAAAAACAAAAAGAAATGACGTTGTCATGGTAAATTTATCTATATTCCGTGATATTTCTTGCCTCAAAGTTAATGTATCCAGCGTTGCTATGCAATACGGGCCGGCAAAGTTTAATTGGAAATATGAGACTGCCTCAATGTTTGATCCGATAACATTTTCTTCAGGATGAGAACGCGAAACTACGCTAAGATTAGTTTTAAAAAGGAAAAGTTATGTATGTTGGTGAGTTTTTTTCTCATTAGAACCCTCCTGCCCTATATAGAGAACATAATTAAAAGAGCCAGTAGAATGTTGGGTTTTGTCATAAGGAACACCAGAGAATTTAAAATTGGCACAAAGATCCTATTATATAACAGTCTTGTACGAAGCACTCTGGACTACTGTAGTGTTGTGTGGAGACCTCACTATGCGGACCACATTCTGCGTATTGAGAGGGTACAGAAAAGGTTCTTGTGGTACCTCGCCTACTCAACAGGTAAAGCTAAGCAACTCAATTCCTACATTGGCCGGCTTCAGTACTTCAGGATGCATTCACTATCATCTCGTAGAGAAGCATATGATGCGCTATTTTTGTTTAAACTAATAAGGAATCAAATAGATTGTGCCGATTTGCTCAGTCTCCTACGGTTTCGGGCTCCCTCGAGATACCCACGTCAGCCAATAACGCCACTGTGCCCACCACTGAGAAGAACAGTGTTGGGTGCAAACCACGTAATACCTAGACTGTGCAAAACAATTAACAGCTATAGTAATGTGACTGATGTGCACAGTGACAGTGTTGGTCAGTTCCGTAAAGCTATTTTTACTAATATGCATAGTAATGGATGAGTACTTCACAGCAGTTTGCATTTCGTCATTATCGTATTTAGTTATTTTGAGTGATTTATGTTCCTGCTTTTTTTTGTTTCAAATTTCATTTAATTTTCTAGAATCCCTAATTTTGTAACATATTTTTCTGTCAGTTTGTTTTTTACACTGTTATTTTTAAAAAAATATTATGTTATTATTGTGCATGCTGTGTTAGTCTATAAGTGATTATTATACTCGCACATGTGTTATATCTTTTATTAACAGTAATGAAAAAGTGTAATAATTGTTGGCTAACCTATTTAAATAAATAAATAAATTAGAATTTCTACCTAATGTTATTTCGTATTAACGTTTACTTTGGCTTAAACAGTCGAAATGACAGTGTTACTTTAAGGAACTTATAGTAAAGTTCCCTAATTTTGGAGAAGGTCCTACGACCAGACGAGGGAGTCACGTCGCCTTGAGGTTTGATCATGCCTGACGGGCTACTGTCCAACAATTGTACGTTGGGATTTTCTATCCGAGTTTAATCGGGGACTAATTTCACTGCTTAACCTCTTGTTTGCCGGTATATAATAGAAAACACATACCTAACAGACTTTATTTAAGTGTGGGAGAGCCAAGCTTCGGCAGGAATGGGTCGGCTCGAACGGAGTGATACCACGGCCTCACAGAAAACCGGCGTGAAACAACCACAGCGTTGTGTTTCGCCGTGTGAGTGAGGTTACCGGAGGCCCAATCCGTCTCCTCCCCCAATCCCTCCTCAATTACCTAATCCTTAAAAGGTCGGCAATGGCAATGCACTCGTAACTCGATCGATGCTCGTTTGCCGACCTATTATATAAAAAAGACACAACATAATACATAAAAGACACAAGAGAAAACACATTGTGTCTCGTGAAGATCTGCACTCACCGCGTATCACAGGTTAGACTGTCTTTGTAAAATATGTAGTGCTTAAGCTACCATTAATGATTACCACGCGAAGAATAGCAGTGATACCAGATGTAAACTACTCAGCCGTTTTCACACAGTATAATAGAGTACAATAAAGCCCTGAATAGTCTGGTTGTATGTCCAAATCGTGTCACCGCACTATGTAGGCCACTGTCATCGCGTGTCAATGGACACTCGCGATGGTCGTCAGAATTTCTTGTCAGCCTCAATTACTGGGATTGACAGTCATTCTGTATCTTATACTGGGCCTATTGAGGTCAGGAACTAGCTAAATAAAATGGCTTCCGGAGTTTTAGGTGTTTCTTGTTCTTACTCCGTGGTTAGGTCACTTCATAATGGAAAAATATTGCGTGAATGAATCTGAGGGTAGTTTGCATTTTCAATTAGAATTTAAATAATATCTTCGTTAATTTTCGGACATTACTACATATGTACATGCTACAAAATAGGGTTAGGTGCTTAAGCAAAAGTAGATAAATAAAAGAACAAATCAACAACATAAAATACAGGTATTTTACGGAAAGAGAGTGTGTGAATTCAAAATGAGGGATGAGTTTCGAAAATTTCCTCAATTTAAAATTTTACAATACTCTTCAATCCACCCTTATTACGTTCGAAATTATACAAAGCGAATGTTCTC